TATATATATATATATAGCAGATGCCTAAAGATTCATCACTGTTAGTTTGCTGTTAGACAAATTCTCAAAGGTGGTCAGAAAAGTGAAATTCAAATGCATGCAGCAGAAATCAGAGAACAGAGAATGTTTACCTATTAAACAAACCAAATGGTTAGAAGGAACATATATTTATGGGTGACTTAAGAGACTGCAGTACTGTATGTTTAAGACTAGGAGGCGCCATCGCTCCACTTCTAATGAACGTTATGAATAGTTTCTCTCCAATTTCCTGATTGATCAGTCTTATTTCCGTGCACTCCATTTCAACTTTACTGCTCATGTTAACATAAAATACATGTTTAAATAACATGTCTAGTTATTAGTCTGTATAAATCTGTATTAATATACAGACACACACGCAAACACAAATCTAACAAAAGACAGCTGCCTGTACAGGTCCATATGACTGCTCAATTTACTTACTGTTCTCGTATTCATAGTTTCTTCCTATACCATCTTATACAATTTAACTATGAAAAAATAATCACAAACCGATACAGACATTTGTTATACTGCAGAATTTGAGCACTTGTCTATTTATTGTATCACACAAAGAGAGCAGAGTGTCAGGTTCACGGTCATCGACAGCCTGTCTGTATGCTGTGCGGTTGCTGGGGTTAAAATTCATGACCCCAGAGGTCACACAGCACAGACACGTCTGCATATGTCACAGGGGTCTCAGGCCATTTGGCCAGCCACTCAGCTAAGGGCTTCCTCGTAATAATTGCAAACAACGTTTTTAGCTTGTGTGATGACCTGCGGCCTGATGCATTCGTGGAACAAACAGGAACATCTCGTGATCCACCAGCACATATGCATCTATTATCTTTCAAATCGAGTATGTTCCTCTCGCTCTCCTTCTCTCCATGTTTATCTGATCAGCTGTCCGTTTAAGAGCGTGAGCTACAGGCCTCAAGAGAGCCATCAATCTTTCAGCTGTCATACGTGCGTATGTGTGTGAGTGATTAGATACTAACTATTTCACACAGTGAATGCTCTTCACGCTGCAGATGCGATCATGTTTGGTCCAACACAAATGTGTCTTAGTCTTTAATGCTGATAAAGTTACTTTCCGTCATTCATTCCAGGCTGAGGCGTCCACCTCCTCACCTCCACAAACACAACTGTCCATTCTCTCCACTTCCCACTCGCTCCTCCAGTTAAACTATCAGCATGTCCCGTAACGTAATGATGAAAATACTCTTTTTAAATTGTTTCCAGACATTTCTTTCTCTCTTTCTTCCATGCTGGTCAGCAGATGCTGTGACATCACTGGACACCGCTCTGCACTGTGATTGGTCACTGGCCTACGTTGCCAGGCAACAGCAGTGAAAGGTCTCTTGTGTGTGTGTGTGTGTGTGTGTGTGTGTGTCTGTGCTTATGTGTATGTTTTTACCCCTGTGACAGACAGTGAAATGGTAAATGGAGAGCGGCTCTTGTGCTGATAAGTTTCCTATCTGAAATGGAGCATTTTTCCTGTAATGGGAGGGTTATGTGTCGTTTTCCCTGAATGAATGTGTGCATGTTTAATATTTTGGCGTATATAGGTGTGTGAATGCAGCTGTGTGTGAGAAAGTGTGTGTGTCTGGGGAATAGGTGGTTATTGTTTTTGACACAGACCCTCATATTTCTGCATCGATCGATTCCTCTGACTCCCGACACAACAATAATCGCGCACACACACACACTTGGGCCTCTTTTTATCAGTAGCACTATTACTGTGCAGAAAGGTAGAGGGGGAAATAAGGGGAGCTGAGAGGAATTCATACGGCAGAACGGGAAAGAACACGGATGTAGGAGAAAGTCATGCCACTTGAAAAAGAAGTGCACAGTGGGAGAATTGATAGTAAAATCTCACTGGGAAAGAAAAGGACAGGGGGAGATGAATAGAGATGAGAAAATAAATGAAAAACTTGGAAGATAAGACTAGAAAGTAGAAAGAAATGTGTGTAAGCTGAAAAAGTGCCACCAATCCGACGCTCTTGGTCGCTACAAATGACCGTCTGAACTGATTTTTTGTTTGTTTTGCCCAATACTTCAACTGGTTTAAACTTTATCATCGGTTTCAATAAACGTACGATGCTTCATTCAAAACGGATTAATTTGTATATATATATATATATATAGCAGATGCCTAAAGATTCATCACTGTTAGTTTGCTGTTAGACAAATTCTCAAAGGTGGTCAGAAAAGTGAAATTCAAATGCATGCAGCAGAAATCAGAGAACAGAGAATGTTTACCTATTAAACAAACCAAATGGTTAGAAGGAACATATATTTATGGGTGACTTAAGAGACTGCAGTACTTTATGTTTAAGACTAGGAGGCGCCATCGCTCCACTTCTAATGAACGTTATGAATAGTTTCTCTCCAATTTCCTGATTGATCAGTCTTATTTCCGTGCACTCCATTTCAACTTTACTGCTCATGTTAACATAAAATACATGTTTAAATAACATGTCTAGTTATTAGTCTGTATAAATCTGTATTAATATACAGACACACACGCAAACACAAATCTAACAAAAGACAGCTGCCTGTACAGGTCCCAGTACTGTATGTTTAAGACTAGGAGGCGCCATCGCTCCACTTCTAATGAACGTTATGAATAGTTTCGCTCCAATTTCCTGATTGATCAGTCTTATTTCCGTGCACTCCATTTCAACTTTACTGCTCATGTTAACATAAAATACATGTTTAAATAACATGTCTAGTTATTAGTCTGTATAAATCTGTATTAATATACAGACACACACGCAAACACAAATCTAACAAAAGACTATATGACTGCTCAATTTACTTACTGTTCTCGTATTCATAGTTTCTTCCTATACCATCTTATACAATTTAACTATGAAAAAATAATCACAAACCGATACAGACATTTGTTATACTGCAGAATTTGAGCACTTGTCTATTTATTGTATCACACAAAGAGAGCAGAGTGTCAGGTTCACGGTCATCGACAGCCTGTCTGTATGCTGTGCGGTTGCTGGGGTTAAAATTCATGACCCCAGAGGTCACACAGCACAGACACGTCTGCATATGTCACAGGGGTCTCAGGCCATTTGGCCAGCCACTCAGCTAAGGGCTTCCTCGTAATAATTGCAAACAACGTTTTTAGCTTGTGTGATGACCTGCGGCCTGATGCATTCGTGGAACAAACAGGAACATCT